ATTCTAGAGAGAAATAAATGGCCTTTTTAGCAAGTGAACCATCGATAAGGAAATGTTGGCAGTTTTCTCAAAAAATGCTTGAATTCAAGAAGTTTGAATCATTCATGAGTTCATGGTTTTTTTGAGTTGCAAAATCCACTTGAACATGACGCTGCTTTTTTCGAAGTTTCTCAGGAACCATTCGAGCCACAGAATTCTTTTTGGCATCGTTGGATAGATAATTGAAAAGTCGATTCAGTCGTAACAACATGAGTGAGGAAATTCGAGTAGTTTTGATCCAGAAAGCCAAATTTGAATATCATCCACTTAGGTGCAAGATTATGCCAAAATTTCATGTTTTCCGTCCCTTTTTTGCTCATTTCTCGGAGGCAAAATGAGCAAGAACGCTCATTTGTACATCATTCTAGAGATAAATAGGTGGCCTTTTTTTGGAAATGCTGGCAGTTTTCTCAAAAAATGCTTGAATTCAAGAAGTTTTAGATTTGCGTGGTTTTTTTTATTTGCAAAATCCACTTGAACACGACGCTGCTTTTTTCGAAGTTTCTCAAGAACCATTCGAGCCACATAGTTCGTTTTGGCATCGTTGGATAGAGAATTGAATGGGGGGGTCACGACCTCCATGACCCCCCTGGGTAGGCCCTTGTCGCTGTGGCCCTGATGGGAAGTAGAGCGCCTTTGGCGCATTTGCCAACTCTATTTTTTATTTGTCCTTGATTCTTTCCCAGCAGATATGTTGCAGTTACCTGAGTTAGTTTTGGTTACTTGTTTGGCAACTTGTTTTGAATTTGAAACACAGCCGTTTTCCTAAGGAAATCTTGCAAACTGCGGTGAGCGAAAAGTGGTCAAAGTTGCAGTTGTTTCAATCTCCGTGTGTGTTTTGAGTCAAAGTCAGCAACAAAAACGGTTTCTTAACAAACTCCGCATTGCATCCGTACCTGATATCAGCCTGCAATAAAGACTGCAAATGAGTGAAATTACGGCACGCAAAGCGACGCCGCCCTGGCACGGCGTCGCGACGGCTGGCGTCTTTAAAACCCGCTGCCGATTGCAGGATAGCAACGAGACGAATGTCCTGCACTAACTTTCCTTAAACACTCATTAGGCGCGATATTTGTCATAAGTTGCTGGACATTGAGAATGTATCGCTTCAAATCACTTCCAGAGTCTTCCAGCTTTTCCAGGCGCTTGGAGACCGGCAAGTCCGCTTTGAGCTGAATGACTCACAATATGGGTATTCGATCAAACGGGGGAAAAAGTGCACCCTGCACGGCTCATATCAGGATGTCGTGCAACCGTGTTTGCATTGGAAAGTACAAATTTTTGCCCCAATGGCAATTAATCAGTCCAGTTGCGTGCAGGTGGAGGGAAAAAAACCACCCCAACAGTCCGTACATGGGTTTTGTTGGTGTAGATCGTGGATTAAAGTCGTGTGGGGTTTTATCAGGGGGCTCCTCACTGTAGTCAGCGAAAAAGAGTAAAAAATTACTGAAAGCCACTGGTTTGCTTCAGGGCTGTACTCGTTGCAAACCCGCTCTCCGGGACGTAAAATCGACATTCGAAAATTTTCCGAAATTGCTCCTAAAAAAAGCCAGTTTTCGGCTGACAATAGGGGCAAATTTGCTCTATCTTGGTGCAAAAGCGCAATTTTCTACTTCTTCCCATTTGGAAGTGAAGCGCTTGTTGTAAACCCGCTTTCCAGAAAGGAAAAATGAAATTCAAAAAATGTTGCAAAATTTTCCTGCTTGCAGCCAAAAGCCAGTTTTTAGGCGTAAATAAAGGCACATCTGCTCTATCTTGCCACCAAATTTCAACTCTCCATCTCTTCCCGTTTGGGAGTGAAATCTTTTTGAAGCGCTTGTTGCAAACACGCTTCCCAGGAAGAGAAACCTAAATTCAAACAAAATTCTCCTGCTTGTGGACCAAAGCCAATTTTTACGCGTTGATAAGGGCACTTTTGCTCCATCTTGCCACAAAATTTCAGGTCTCAATCTTTTCCTAATTCGGAGTTAAATTTAGTTAAGACGCTGGTTGAAAAATCGGTTTCTAGAAAGAAAAATTCAGTAAAAAAAAAAATTTCCAAAAATGTCCATGCTTGTAGCCAAAACTAGTTTCGGGCGTAAATAAGGGCACATTTGCGCTCTATCGTGTCACAAAATTCTAATTCTTCATCTCCTCCCGTTTGGGAGTGAAATGTCTTTGAAGCGCTTGTTGCAAACCCGCTCCCCAGAAAGAGAAATCCAAATTCAAAAAAAAATTAAAAATTTTCCTGCTTGTGGACCAAAGCCAATTTTTAAGCGTAGCTAAGGGCACTTTTGCTCTATCTTGCCACAAAATTTCAGGTCTCAGTCTTTTCCTGCTTCGGAGTTAAATTTAGTTGAGACGCTGGTTGAAAAATCGGTTTCTAGGAAAAGAAATTCAGTCAAAAAAAAAAATTCCAAAAATGTCCGTGCTTGTAGCCAAAACTAGTTTCGGGCATAAATAAGGGCACATTTGCGCTCTATCGTGTCACAAAATTCTAATTCTCCATCTCCTCCCGTTTGGGAGTGAAATGTTTTTGAAGCGCTTGTTGCAAACCCGCTCCCCAGAAAGAAAAATCCAAATTCAAAAAAAAATTAAAAATTTTCCTGCTTGAGGACCAAAGCCAATTTTTAAGCGTAGCTAAGGGCACTTTTGCTCTATCTTGCCACAACATTTCAGGTCTCAATCTTTTCCTAATTCGGAGTTAAAATTAGTTGAGACGCTGGTTGAAGAAGCGGTTTCTAGGAAGAGAAATTCAGTCAAAAAAAAAAATTCCAAAAATGTCCGTGCTTGTAGCCAAAACTAGTTTCGGGCATAAATAAGGGCACATTTGCGCTCTATCGTGTCACAAAATTTTAATTCCCCTTCTCCTCCCGTTTGGGAGTGAAATGTTTTTGAAGCGCTTGTTGCAAACCCGCTCCCCAGAAAGAGAAATCAAAATTCAAAAAAAAATTCAAAATTCTCCTGCTTGTGGACCAAAGCCAATTTTCAAGCGTAGCGGGCACTTGTGCTCTATCTTGCCACAAAATTTCAGGTCTCAGTCTTTTTCTGTTTCGGAGTTAAATTTAGTTGAGACGCTGGTTGAAAAATCGGTCTCCAGGAAGAGAAATCCAAACTCAAAAAACTTCCAAAAATATTCTTGCGTGTAGCCAAAACCAGTTTTCGTATAACAGCTATCGTGTCACAAAATTTTAATTCTCCATCTCTTCCCGTTTGGGAGTGGAATGTTTTTGAAGCGCTTGTTGCGAACCCGCTCTCCAGGAAGAGAAATCCAAATTTAAAAAAACTTTCAAAAAATGTCCTGCTTGTAGCGAAAAGCCAGTTTTTAGGCGTAAATAAGGGCACCTTTGCTCTATCTTGTCACAGAATTTCAGTTTTCAACTTTGTCCTGCTTCGGAGTTAAATTTTGTTGGAACGCCCGTTGCAAAACCGGTTTCCAGAAGGAGAAATCCAAATTCAAAAAATTGTAATGCTTAATGTGGTGTTTATTTTTGGAAAAATCGCTCAAACCAGCTGATTTGTGTTTTCAACTGCGCACTTTCCCAACCAATTTTTATTTTATAGGGTGACCCAAAAAAGTTATGACACCAAGACCAACTTTTTCTATCTAAACAATTCTACGCGTTTTTAATGCAGCATACAGACAAACACCTGGTTTTTGAAGAGTTATATGCAGCTCACTGTATATGTATTAACAGAATTAAAGGGAATTTTGCTCTTGTAAATTGAAGCGATTTTTTACGAATTTTATTGAAAGGCTTAAACAAGCGACTTTTTCAAACGCTTCGGTCTTTAGCGGTTGGTGAGAAGTTGAAAAGTCGCTAAGGCCATAGGCATTAAGCCAAAGTAGGAAAAAAATGCAAATTGCTCTTCTCAGCCCGCCAGAGACAATTGGACTGTAAAAGGGCTTTTAGGGGCTCCATTCCACTCTAAGCACCCGAGTAATGAGGCTGCAGTCCAACAGCACTGGCTTTATGGCGCAATAAGCTTAATATGCAATTTCGCAATTTGTATATCCGCATAAATAACTGCCGACCAGATATTGCACGAGTCCTAGTATTAGGAATTTGACACAGTAATAAACTAGGGCGAAACCCCCGGCCAACATGCCGGTTTATGCGGATGCAAAGTGCAGTTTTGCTCGCTAATCTGCCGTTCTTGTGACTGTTTCCCCGAAAAAAACTCCTTTTTCAAGCAGCCGCCAATTTTTTCCCCACAACTTGCCGTGTTCTCCTAGGCATTTGCCGTCTAAAAATAGCCTTTCAGACCCTTTCGGCATTGTGACATATGATTATCCAATGACCTCACGTGAGAAAATGCTTTTCGCGTGCCCGAACCACCCCGCACAGAGGGCGAATTGCACGGGGGCTCGTTATTTTGCGACGGTTTCTGCATTTTAATGCAAACAGTACTGCGTACATCGGTTTCAACAGTCTGCAAATTGCGTTTTAATCGGTTTGGGTGCATGAATTAAAATTTCCAGTCTGGGACACTAATGAAGGCAAATTTGAAAAAGAAGTTTAGCATCTGGATGGAACACATCAGGTGGCCATCAGGATCACCGGAGCTAACTGCTCCAGATTTTTTTACACATACGGAAAATAGGCCTTTTTGCCTCTTTGCTTGCTAAAATGCCTTTGGCGTGTCAAATTCCCCATCAATGTTCCCTGTTGGTGGAAATCTGGAAACAGCAGCTGTGCCATAAATCGGCAAATAGAACGCGAACGCTGATGATAATAATAATGAAGAGCTACACCCGATAATTCGCAAGCAAACTGACATAAAATTTGCCGTTGCGAAATGCCATGATTCATCAAAATAATGGGAAGTAATGATTCATTGTTTCGCGACCCCTTCGGGCCGGGGCGGTTTTAAAGGGGTTGACTTGGCAAATTGAATGTTCGCTTTTGATTCTATCTTTATGGCTATCGGCGCGCGAATTTGCTGAGTAATAATATGCTCGCTTTGTTTCTATCTAATGATTTATTGGACTTTTCCGAGCTTTACGAGCAGCAGGGGCAGCTTCCTTCGGGCTGCAATTGGCCGGCAAACAGTGCCCTGATGACTTCCGGAGGCAGAGTTGCTTGAAGAGGAGCCACTGGAGCTGGAGCTGAAGCTCCAGAGACTGCTAGAGGAGCTGAGCAGCTGCAGGCGCCGCCGTTCAGTTTATTGCAGTAGAGCTTGCACTTGTTCTCGTAGAGCCTGTAGAGCAGCGGGTACCTCTTGTAGAGGGCCTGCTTGGTGTTGAAGCCCTTCAAGGCGCATTGAGGAGGGACGGTGTAGCACTCCAGACAGTCGTCACATGGCGAAGCCTCCTAGGGGAGCGAATTAGTCTTGCTGAGGAATAAGGGCCTAGGGGGACTTACCATTAGGCTGCACGCAGCGATTAAAAGCAGGGAGAAGATGGTGAGCTTCATGGTGGAAGGAGTTGGCGGCTGGAATGGTTTGTCCTCTGGAAAAAGTCCGCTATTTAAGACGAGCTTGGAGGTGATCGACCCGTCGCTTCCTCATAGCAAACGTGCTGCGCCAGTTGAACTTGAACTGGATGTTTTGAATTTTCATTGCCAATAGCTGACGGAGGTTAGTCGAGTGCAACTACCGCATTTTTGCTCCACTTGCGTGAATGCTTCCGCTCCCATCAGCCGATTATTAGGACAGGAATTGGAAATCAATCAAGATCAAGATAACAGGCCGGTTTATCCAGAAAAGGCGTCCCTTCATTCCCGATTCCAGACTAACATCGCTGGATTTTTCGCCGGGTTTTCGTAGTAATGGCCGGCGTATTAAGTTACGTGGCCGGAATTATTTCCTAACAGAGTTAGGCGAGAATGAGACAAAATCAGATGATATATGGGGATGATTCCCGGCGAAATTGGAAAAAGATTGGACTGGAAAAAAGGAAGCAATATGGTGCGTGGGGGACGTGAGAACCGATTGGGTCAAGTGGTTTTTCAGCCTCTTCGACCGTTTCGGTTATTTTCCATGCTCGCTCCAGCCAGTGGAGTTTCCACGCTGGTTGGTGTCATCCACGATTTGTTTCTCGCAGCATCGAGGAATAATTTCCACGGAATTCAGATAAAAGGCAAATCCAGAGCATCGGCAGCAATTTCGCGGCGCATTTGTCCGTGCCACTCAATGCGAGCCGAAGTCAAACATTTATTTGTGCAATTTAAATTATACACACATGATTTAAGAAAGATTGAAAATTCAATCGGGCGTTTACCATCAGGCGTACGGGTGCGGCTGACAGATCTTTTTACGTTTCCCATCGGGTCCGTCTGTTTCTACGCGATCCACGGAATTGAATATTTATGAAATTGCCACGTCTACTCCAGTTTACCAGAAAAACTAGCTTGGTTCTTAAATCGCACAATAGGAAGACAAAATCTTCACTGTGTTCTGCTTCACGCGCTATTGCTTGAACCAGAAAAACGCCATCCTACACTATCACACAAAGACATCTTTTCCCTCTGGCCAAGCCCAATGTTGAAGCGCCAAAACTCTTTTAAGCTCTCTCGCTTAAAAGCGACTGTAACAGCAGTAAAACCAAAAGGTTCCAGGAGAGGAACATTAACAGCAAAGTTGATACATCAACTCAAAAGAAACAGAGTAATGGAAACAGACAGAAAAAGCTGTATTAAGAGGAACTAAAGAAAGATCTTTAGCTGAAAAGACCGCGGTCTCAAACCAGATTTGTTAATAGTTTTTCTATCAAAAACTCAATACAGTTTTCCAACACGGAAACAAAAAAATAATAGCTTGGTTCTTAAATCGCACAATATCAAGACAAAATCTCCACTGTGTTTTGCTTCACGCGCTATTGCTTGAGCCGGAAAAACGCCATCCTACACTATCACACAAAGACATCTTTTCCCTCTGGCCAAGCCTACTGTTGAAGCGCCAAAACTCTTTTAAGCTCTCTCGCTTAAAAGCCACTGTAACGTCAGTAAAACCAGAATGTTCCAGGAGAAGAACATTAACAGCAAAGTTGATACATCAACTCAAAAGAAACAGAGTAATGGAAACAGACAGAAAAAGCTGTATTAAGATCAACTAAAGAGTGATCTTTAGCTGAAAAGACCGCGGTCACAAACCGGATTTGTTAATAGTTTTTCTTTCAAAAACTCAATACAGTTTTCCAACACGGCAACAAAAAATTAATTGGGTTCAACTGATTCATTTTATTTTATTTTGTCAATATTAGTACGTATCAAGTCAACATTGTTGTGAGCATTACGAAAGTTTTGTTGAAATTTTTATCAAAATATGAGTGTTATTGTTTTGGAGTACTTTCGACGTGATCTTTAACTAAAATATACCCGATTGATCCTCCTACGAGCAGTTGAAAAGCAACAAGAGGCCCTACTTTCTTTGGGAAGCCGTTTGGATGAAACATCGTTCTGGAAAAAATCTCGAATCTCTTCAAATGACTTATCAAAACCGATAGACTTTCGAGTCGATTCGTTGAAACTAGTGGGTTTTTCGGGTTTTTAGGCCGTCGTTCGGTAGAATTTCTTCCTGACGATTTGCATCTTCAGAGGTGGTTTGATTGAACTTTTACACTGTTCTGGTTTTTCATATCAATACAGCTCAGGACCTTTGAAGATTCGAATCCCAATCGAATAATACGACTACTTCTAAGGCTTCTGGGGGCGTTTTGGTTGAAGCCAACGTCCCCAGATTTAAGTTCAGAAGTCAGACTTTCTCACCTTATTCAGTTCTGCATGTTGTCAGTTTGCTTAAAATAGGTGAAGATTGGCGAAAATCATGTTACTTATTGGTTGATGTTGCGAAAGTTCACTCTTGATGGTAGATCACCTGGGAATGGTTCATTTAAGCTTTTTTTAATCGGTGGCACCAAGAAGTTTCACCTAGTAATGGAGTATTCTTATTAAAAATGTGATCTGAGCTCCATGCTGTTCTGAAGCAGGTTTCTGAGCAACTAGTTTCTGGTTGTGGTGATATGGATTTTGCTTGCTTTGAATGAGCAATTTTGATATACTTGATTTTGGAAGTTTTTGTGCATTTTCTGGGCCCTTCTGAAGCAGGATTCTAAACAACCAGTAGAAATATGAGAATCGCGGCTAGAGTACTCGATAACAAACGTTTCAGTTTACGTGTGGTTTAAATTGGGTTCTACTTAAGAAGCTGGTGGCATCAGAATTAATTTTTAAACTTTGAAGTCTTTTTCCGCGGACTTTCATTTTTACATCATACACATAAAAAGCCATTTCTGAGCTACCAGTTCAGATAGGGGAATAAGGGTTGCTGGACTCGGTCAAGAGAAATTTGGCTTACGTGTGATGTGAATTTATATAGCTTCGAATGACTGGTTTATTAGTAATAAATTTAGAAACTTTTGCAATATTTTGCGCGGTTTTTTGTCTATATACGGTGCTCTTCTGAAGCCAATTTCTGAGAAACTGGAGTGGATATCGGACTCCAGGCTTCAGCACTCGATCAGCAAGGCGTTTCTTTAAATGTGACGTAAATTGGGTTTGGTTCTAAGGGATGGTTTTTTTAGAATAAATTTTTAAACTTTTGCAAGTTTTTGAGCGTTTTTTGCCTATAGACGATGATCTTCTGAAGCAATTTTCTGAGGAACCGGTTGCGATATCGAACTCAGGATTATAGCGTTCGCAGTGCTTTACCTCCCGGGCGGCTCGAATTCTGCTCGCTTGCAGTCAATGGTGTCTTCAAATAATGAATTTTGAAACTTGATAGTTTTTAGCTTTAGCTCCGGTGTGATGCAAATTTGGCTCGGTTCGACCAAAGGGTTCTTCGATAATAATTTTTTAGTTGTTGTTGTTCGTTAAGGGGATGGATGGGTTGAAACATTTGGGGCCATGGAAAGTTTGCGTGAATTGGGGCAAGGCCTACCGTAACAAAGGGGCGCAAAGTTGGGAATCGACCAGCGATTGTCGTAAAAAGGGCGCCTGCCAGCCGGGCGTCCCGACGCCCTACCTGCGACAGTCCAATGTGGCTTTACGTATCCGCACATCGTCATACCATCCAGAGTGATTTATTGACCTGAAGAACGCGAACTTTCCTCCATCGGATATCGGACTATGGCAACATGGAAATGAATTGCTGATGGGCGCCGAGACAAGTTTCCATTGTGCCGAACTTATCGACTCAATTTTCCCTAGATTTTCGTTTGTCATGTGTATGGGGACGGAATGTCTGGGCTGAGAGGGTGCTCGACGTCTAATTATCGCAACTCCCACTTCAATTTCAATAAAAATGGCTTTTTATTGCCCGGCTCTGTTTGCATATTCCGGCCGAGTCCGCAAACACACTACACGAATAAAAAGGGTGCATGTCTAGGAAGGAAACTGTTCCACCCCCGGCATCGATACCATTGCAAAACCCATAATTTTTCGCATTTTACGACCTTTTACTATAACGCGTGTGTTTGGTCTGTACGTATCCGCGATCATTAAATAACACTTTGCAAAAACAGTTCGCTTTATTGGATCGAACCGTCGGGGCTTTGCGCTCTATTTAATTGGACTGGTGCAGGGTGAGTCAATGGCAAAATCAATGGAAAACTTAGTTTTCAAAACTCAGTTACCTTCAAGCTGAAGGCGTGCTGGTGAGTCAATACTGCTGACTGCTCGCATTTATTCCACAAAGTCATGGATAAAGTTTTATGGGCGAATTTCGTGCAAATTTGCCTGTAACTGCCCAAGTTTTTACCGGTCGGTGTATTTGGATTCCCGTGGGATTTTTCCCGTTAACTGCCAGTTCTCGGCTCAACTTCCCTTCGACTACTTCAGACAATTAAAATACTTCTCCAACTTCCAATTGTTTGCCTTTTTCAAAGCTGCCGATCCAACATGGAATCGCTTAATGAGGACATATTTTCCTCCTCAACGTCCCCAACTGTTCCGAATACAAATCGCTCCACATCCATTTGTTACACTGCTAATATCCTTCTTCGGGGTCTTATTCCATTACCATTTCCGCACCTCCATTTAATTATCTTTTACATCTTTATTCTGTCTGCATTTTCGTTMGYTTTCTTTTATCGTTCTGTCCGGCTCGGTTTCAATGGAAAACACCATCGTTTGGGGAATTGCCKTTCAATAGAGCAACACTGTCACAAGAACCAAAGTTTTATGAATGTTGGACGTTCTTATACATTWCAASTTTTGAGGAGCACACTTTGAAACATAACCCCAAATGTMTACAGGGTTATTCACGCTATACGGCACGGAAGTTTGCGGCTAAACCGTTTGATTTTTAAAAAGTATTATTTTATGAATTGTCCGACGCCTACCGAGCGCACATTTTAAAAATATTTTCGTAATGTACAGGGTGTCCCAAAAGCTGAATATTTAATATACAGACACTTGAAAAGATACAACTGAAAGACCGCTAAAAGGTTCGCTAAAATGTGTACAAAACCTCCGTTCCCTATCGTGAATAGTTTCTGAAATATGGCCAAAAAACTAAGAAGGAAACTGTCCGCATTAGCTTGAGGTGCATGCAGTGTTCTTTGGATGCATAAAATTGGGCTGTTGTGGAGGGCTCAGTTGGAGCCAAACTGTTCCATATTTGGAGTACCTTCGGACTCAACCTCGACCGAAAAATTGATAGTGAAACCCCCCTAACTTTGAGGTTTAAACCTCCAAACCGGACTGAGCTCCTAATCGCCTGCCCCAGCTGCAATTACCAAATCTGCAGAGGATCAGCACCAGTTTTTCTCAACATTCACACCCTTCAGATGCAACTGGGGCCGGGACTGATGGAAAACTGGAAACTTCAGGACCACATTATTGAATTCACCCTGTATATACAGAGTGAATATTTAATATACAGACACTTGAAAAGATACAACTGAAAGACCGCTAAAAGGTTTGCTAAAATGTGTACAAAACCTCCGTTCCCTATCGTGAATAGTTTCTGAAATATGGCCAAAAAACTAAGAAGGAAACTGTCCGCATTAGCTTGAGGGCGCATGCATGCAGTGTTCTTTGGATGCATAAAATTGGGCTGTTGTGGAGGGCTCAGTTGGAGCCAAACTGTTCCATATTTGGAGTACCTTCGGACTCAACCTCGACCGAAAAATTGATAGTGAAACCCCCCTAACTTTGAGGTTTAAACCTCCAAACCGGACTGAGCTCCTAATCGCCTGCCCCAGCTGCAATTACCAAATCTGCAGAGGATCAGCACCAGTTTTTCTCAACATTCACACCCTTCAGATGCAACTGGGGCCGGGACTGATGGAAAACTGGAAACTTCAGGACAACATTATTGAATTCACTAACAAATGGCCTTCGGTTTCGGGCGGAAAACTTCCGGCTCTCAAGTTTCCTCGCACGTTCCCCAGCATAAGAACGAAGTGCAAATTAACAATTATTATTCTCTGCAGCTCGCCGCCTGAATGGGAAAAAGATCGCGGGTTTTTGCCTTGTAAATTGAAGCCAAACCCAACACGGAAAAGAATTTTATTGCGAACCGCACAAATTTAGCCGTGATAATAGAACCAACAATCGTTACACAGCCATACTCCAGGTGGCGTGGTGTCAGGTTCCATAGTAGGCATGCGGCAGTACCTATGGAACACCGTGGCGCAACGATCGCAAATCAGCATCTCTTCTGGAGTGTTGAACTCGCACAATTCGCAGCATAGTGGCTCGGTCGGCCAGTTCCTGGCTAAACGACGAAAACGCAGCAATAAAACGAAAATTTGCAAGAATGCTGCAACAGCAACTCACCAACAAAGTTGTTCAGCACTGGAACAACAGGCAGCTGATTGATCACGTATCCTTGGTCATCCAGCACCAAAATCCACTGGTACTGCTTCCTATCGACTGGGCAGGTCCGTTTGGTTTTGGACCATTCCTGCAAACAGCTCAGGCAGAACGCGTGGTGGTTGCAGCGCTCCGTAATGCTCAGAGTTTGATTGGTGAGGGCTTTGAGGCAGATCGGACACTGTTCGATTTCTTCATTTTCTGAGTCGCTCGAAAGTTCCTCCTGCTGAACTGGGCCTGGGGAGGTTTATTAACTACATCAACCAAATCTCTTTCTGTTCAAGCAACTGATGGGACCAGGTTGCAAGGGTTTTGCAGGCAACAAAACCAGGACAGAGGAGGGAGTGAGAGGAGAACATTGCAAGAACCTCAGAAGAATGATAGAGGAGGACCAGGAGCCAAAAGACAGCCTTCAGTTATAGTTAAAATCAGTAAAAGTTGACACTCACCAGCTGCTGCTGATAAGAGCTTATTGGGGCGGGACAGAGCGAGTTTCTTCGCCTGGCAGCTTTGCGAGCAGGCGTCCAGGTCGCTGTCCACTGAACTGGCCGAAGTGGAATGTTCGGACACTTTTCTTTTCCTCTCGGACCCGGAGGTGCTCATTATGCGCTGCAGGGATGCGTTTAAATTTGTCACATTCGACTCAAAGTGAACACATTGTCACCTGGACAATGGCTGGAGCTGGTGCTGAATGGCATGGCAAAGTCGTGCTCACTTGGATTATGCAATTATGCATATCGGATGATTGCAAATGCGCTGATGACTCGAAGTTATTGGAAAATCCTGTTAGCATTAATTATCCCAGCAATTCCCCGGGATCCCGAAAGGGCAGTGTAAAGCCGAGCGACGGACCAAATAATCCAATAGCGCCGGGCCTATGGGGAATATGCAGCAAGGGGGAGAAATACCTTGAACAAATGCATCTCGCCAAGGCAGGAATTCTGTTCGGGATGCTGCAGCTTCCGGTTTGAATTCGCAATTTGCAGCAGCTCTTGCAGCGGAAAACTGACTTTCTTTTATTCATTAAGACGGCGCCGCCCCTTGGGAGAGCCGTTTTTTCCTTCAGCTAAACGGTTTTTCATGTTTCTGGCGCTTATCGTAGGCATGTTTCGGTGATAAAACCAGCAAATAGCTGGAACTTATTTACCTGGCCCGAGGAGAAAGTCACATTTTCTTCGCATGCGACCCATTTAATTTTATGCGCCAGCCCTTTATTGGGGCGCCACTTATTTTTTACTCTGGCAAAGGAGCGCTTTTGTCTTTCATGGGCTTRTTCAAARGCATAMGGAAGCTGTGAGRCAAATTAATTTCAAAATCCCTGAAGATGCCAAATATTCCAGACGTTCAAAGAATTAAGAAAACATTTGCTTCTGTCCAAGTTGAATTTTTCCTMTGACGCTATAAAATGCTAGAACATGGCTCTAAATTGGAAAATTTGCAGCAAAAATCCTGAGGGRGCCCAATATTCGAAACTTCASACGATAAAATTGACCATATTTCTTACAAACTGGTSTCCATMATTTTTTTGCGTYAGATCTAACAAAAGAGTTTGAAAATTCACTGCCAAGGCACTGACGATGCCAAATGCTCGAAACTTTCAACGAATCAAGAAGACATTTGCTTCCGAAATATGACATGGTTTGCTTGTTTGTATCTGCCGAAAATTATCTAGGACGAATTTTTGTCTGACACTGTAAATTGGCAAATTTGCTGTTAAAACTCCACAAAACCGCATAAAAATGTCTCCAGTTTGAAAATTCATTGTCAAGACCCTGAAGATGGCAAATATTCGAAACTTTCAACGGATCAAGAAAACATTTGCCTCGGTAACTTGCGTGTTTGCATCTCTTGGAAATTGTCTAGGACGAATGTTTTTGTCTTACACTGCAAAAAATATTTTGACCAATTTACTGTAAAAATCCTGAAGGAGCCCATCTGATATGCTCGAAACTTTTAGACAATAAAGTACAAATTTCCAGTTGAGAGCGTATTTCTCGCGCACTTTTCTTCAACCATTAATTTGGGTCTGACCAGGCAAATCCGCAGCAAAACGACCCCAGTTTGAAAATTCATTGCCAAAACTCTGACGATGCCAACTATTCGAAACTTTCCACAGATTAAGGAGACATTCGCCCCTGTAAAATGATGTAACTTGTGTGTGCGTCTCTCTTCAAACCTGTCTAGTATGATTTTTTTCGTCTTCCCAACAAAAATGCTGCGACACTCTACTTGGCCACCGCAACCAAACGACTTCAGTTTGACACTACATTGTAAAAACCCTGAGAATGGCAAAAAATCGAAACTTTGACCATTAGAAAGACAGATTTGGGTCTCCAAATTGAAGTTAGCTGCATGCCTCAATCTAGGGTGCATTTTTTGTCTCCTTCCTTCTAAAAGTCCTAAAGCTAACAGAGAAGCTTGACTTTCTAAAAAAGTGGATTTTCCGTGGATATTTTCTTGGTGTGGTGGTTTCAGCCCCTGTCTTCAATTATACACAACTTTGAAAGATTCTTGATCCACTTGCGTCCTAAACTTCCAATCTTGCTTGAAAGGGTCGGTTTCTTGACCTTCTTCCTGTTTATATTGCTAAAAATTCTTCTGGGTTTGAACAACTTGACTTGACAAAAACTGCATCAAAATGACCCTTCCGATATCTTGGTTCTTCCATCTTCCGCTACCGTTCATCATTTGGAGATATACAAACAGAAGTGAAACATGTTTATTTGAACGTAGCATGTTTCTTCCCACATTGTTCTCTCGTAAAACCTGCTCACATTAGAAGACAAAACACGGATTTGCCGCAAATCCAGTGGCGAACTAAATCAGGCATTAAACCACTGGGCAGCCAACCAAGTCAAAATCGCCATAAATTTGCCGGTAAACTTTCGCACGTTTCAGCCGACGAGCAAATTGTCGCCAAAATAACTCGGAAAGTTTTATCCCGGAACCGGTAAACTGGCGCTAATGTAGAGGTAGAAGGTGGAAAATATTTCCGCAATTCGAAAACGGGAATAGTTCGCCCTAAACTTTCGAGACTTATGTTAACTGTTTCTGCAAATTCTATTAAAGCCGAAATTATCCCCCCGGCTTGCAGGCCCTATTCGTCGGACTGTTTACATCGCTGGCGGTTTTCATTGTATGAATATATCCGGAAGTTTAGTGGATATTTGGAGAATTCTTTGGGAAACCGGAACCAGGCACCTGTTGCAACCAGGGGGACAATCACCCTCAGTCACCCCTGATCTGGGCCTAATCCTTTTCATAATCTTGAGCAACGGAATTATCAGCGCCCGGCAGGAAAATGCCAGAGACACGCCAAACTCCCCATGCAATTATTTCATTTCCCCAGCCAATCTCCATGCCGCTCAATTTTTGTTCTGCAAACGAGGAAAAAGCCCTAGTCAATTTTTAATTTAAATTCTCATCGAACATCGACTGAAACTGATCAAACTTCATTATTAGATTGTCTTGTTGCCATCAGGAACAGCATGAAAAACCCAAATCTTCATCTGATCCACTCGTTTCGAAGATGGCTTCAAGAGTGCTGGCGCTCTCTTAATGAGAAGTTATAATAAGCTTGGAGTCCTTGTGAGCTCATTGCAATTTATCAGTGGATAGATATTCAAATGAAAAGCGAACGAGGTCCATAAAAGCCATTAGGGCGCTCAAAGACACATTTTGAATGTAATTGAGAGGCAGAGGCATGATGATGATGTTGGCTGCAGGCCAGTTGGCAAATATGTTTCGGGATATTGGCCAGCATGACTGGGTGGATTTGCGTCCTGAAAGCCCTGTTAAGATGGATTTATGTAAGGGAAGTCCGCTCTAAGAGTGGAAACAATGCTGGCCCTCTTTCGGTCCCGCGACTGTCGCGTCATTGGCAAATTTTTCAACTTTAAACGCATTTTCATTAGAGCTGCGCGCTCTAAGAGAGTGTTTTTGATTTATTTATGACTTATTGCACAACCGCGGGCATTCAAATATTAATTAAATCGAAAAAGCGAAGCACTGCGTTGATTTATAATCGGCGCTGTTGAATTAATTGCCGCGAAACTTTCTTGTGACTTTCCGCGGTTCCATTTTGAAAATTCTGTTTCGCTTTTCCCCGAGTGATTTATGATCCGTTTTAGTTCTTGTAAATTAACGCAATCCCATCCCGAATCCGCACATTTTTTGCCGACCTTATAAAGTAATAAAACGTTCCTAGATGCCATGTCATGCGGGGGCTGCTCCCATACACCCATATAAAATGTAACAACTTGATTCGTTGTAAAATATGGCAAAGTGAACTTACGGCTGGAATTTATGTCCCGCTCTTTGCATAAAATACACTTCGGGATACGCTCGAATTCAATTGTTATTATACGACTTTTCCATTGAAATGTCCAAGTTATTGAACACGTCTACTGGTTGCCAGCACTTTTCATGTCTTCTTGGGTATCTGGTTTTTTAACCACCAAATTGAAATTCTTTGGTTAAAGTTTCTCTCAAGGATCAAGTGTTGTAAAAATTTCAAGTCGCTACTTGTTCTAGATCGGAAGTTTCGAATGTTTGAACAAAACATTGTGGCTTGGAACCGCTCACTTTTGCACCCGGGATTGTCAATTTGCGCAAAATTCCACCCTAAGCGCGATTTTAATGAAACAACCAGCCGTTTTACACTGGACTGTGTCCTAATCGTTCTAAAAATTTCCAGTCTCAACGTGTTTTTGTTAGGAAGTTCAGCATTTTTGAAGAGGCGAGTGTCGCTTTGAAACGCTCACTTTTTAAGGCCCAGATCGTCAAGCCGCAAAAGAATCAAAATGCACAGGGATTTTGTTAAAAATTTGGAAACTTATAGACATAAATTTCTGTTATAAACTGTGAAAATTTCAGGTTCGTACTTGTTCTCGTTTGGAAGTTCGCATTTTTTGAAAATAAGTTTGTTCTTTTAAAGGCCCTCGTTTGGAGCAGAAATTGACAAGCCGCGAAAAAATAAAAAATAATAGAAAAATAACTGAAAATTCCAGCCGACTGATAAGAAAACGTGTACTATGAATTGAGAAAATTGTGAGTTTCTACCTGCTCCAGCTTGGACGAACCGATTTTTTTAAGCAAGATTTGTTCATTTAAAGTTCCCAGTTTTGGAGCCAAGTTTGCAAAGTTATTACAAATCAGGGTCAAGAGATTTTTTAGCACTTTTGGGCTCTCTTAGACTGAAATATTTAATGTTGCCTGTTGTGGAAACTACAAGTCGTTACTTGTTTCAGTTTCGAAGCTTAAAATTGTTGAAGGTAAACGCGTCGCAGTGAAACCCTCACTTTTGGAACAGAAATTCTCGACCTGTGCAAAAATCAACATCAAATGGCAATTCATTAAAATGTTTGCGTGTTTTAGACGGAAATCTCATCTGTCGATCCTGAAAATTGCAAGTCGCTACTTGTTTTAGATCGGAAGTTTCGAATGTTTGAACAAAACATTGTGGCTTGGAACCGCTCACTTTTGCACCCGGGATTGTCAATTTGCGCAAAATTSCASCMTAAGCGCGATTTTAATGAAACARCCAGCCGTTTTACACTGGACTATGTCCTAATCGTTCTAAAAATTTCCAGTCTCAATGTGTTTTCGTTCGGAAGTTTGGAATTTTTGAAGAGGCGGGTGTGGCTTTGAAGCGCTCAGTTTTGGAGGCCCAGATCGTGATGCCGGA